GTGTGTGTGTGTGTGTGTGTGTGTGTGTGTGTGTGGCAGTGGTGGATTTCAAAAAAAATTTTGGAACCTCTTCTGTAGGTGTGGCCTGCTTTCCGGGTCCACTGGTGGAACCTCTTCGAACCGGTTCGGTAGATTTGACGAACCGGTTCTACCGAATAGGTGCGAACGGGTAGGAACCCACCTCTGTATCAGGCCCACCGGAAGTCAGAAAATGGTCCGTTTCCGGCCTCTGGAGGGTCTCCAGGGGGGGGGGCGCAGGGGAGGCAATTTTCTCCCTTCCCAGGCTCCAAGAAAGCCATGTGTGCATGTGCTGGGCAGTGGGGGGGGGCATGGAATGGGGGTGGGCATTAAATTATGGAGGTGGGCCCGTGAGTGCGCACCACCCCCGTGTTTTTGGCACCGGAGGTGAAAAATATTCGCCATCACTGGTCGCTACCATTCCGGACAATTGGATGTCCAGTCTCTTCTTGAAAGCCTCTGAATTTGTGGGTGCTCCAAATCTTTTGGGGAGATCAGGTATGAGGGAGCTGGGCGGACTCCCCATTCTGCGTTTCTTTTCTGGTTTCCAGTTATTCTCTGGAAAACCACCCCATTTTTCCTGCAGCAGGTTGAAGGGAAAGGAAGATCTCTGCTGTCTTCCACGTCATGTCCCCAGAGCATCCTTCCTGAAGAAAAGGGGGCGTGGGATGCATTCCGGACCCTCCCTACACTTCCCGGAGACTTAAAAGGACTAGAAGAAGACTTTTCCTTTCTTTTTGAGCAGCGGGTTGGACTGGAAGACCTCCAAGGTCCCTTCCCGCTCTGCTGCCCCATTAAATGCTTTCAGCCTTGCAAGATTCTGCCAATGGCACCTGAAATGAAGCTGGAGCTATTGTCCGTTATTGTGCCCCAAGCTCCCCAAGTCTGCCCTTCACCCCCACTTATCCAGCACCCTCTGAGACCAAGCTCTCGTCTTTATTTATTTAGCCCACGGGCAGATCAGACGCGGGGTTGCAAGATAGATTCCCATTTCGGCTAAATCGGGGCTGTGAAACTGAGTTTCTTCAAGGGCTGGATCAGAATCGGCGTTCTCCTCTGCGGTCCGGTGTGGAGGTTGGAGACAGGATGGACTCCTCCTGTACCACTCTGCCGGCCAAACACAGGCCACATGGAAGCCCCCCGAAAGTCCCCTCCCCCCGGCCCATTTTCAGCTCCAACAGCACTCTGCGGGCCTTGAGTTGGAGACCCCTGGCCTTAAAACAAAACACGTAATAAAATACGAATGTTAAAAGCTATGTTCCGATACCAAATGCCTGGGCCATCTAACCATGGAAGTGCAGCCTTGTTTATACAGCTACTGTCAAAGCCAGTGTTTCTCAGAGGTTTTAAGTCCTGTGGACCTAGAATTTCAGCAACCTGGAATTAAGGAGAGTGATAGTGAGAACAACTTATTAACAGAACAGCTTCCCCCTAGAACACTGTTTCTCAACCTTGGTGACTTTAAGTCCTGTGGACTTCAACTCCCAGAATCCCCCAGCCAGCTGTGCTGGCTGGGGGATTCTGGGAATTGAAGTCCACAGGACTTAAAGTCTCCAAGTTTGAGAAACACTGGACTCTAAGCCCTCAGCTCTCTCATAATAATGTTTCTTGCTGATGAGGAAGTCGAAGGCTGCCAGAGTTTGCATTCTGCTTCCTTCCCCTTTTCTCACGTTCTGCTTCTTCACCTCTTCCTCCCTTCCCCAGATCCCCTGGAGCCCCAGCCCGAGCAAAAGGAGGGAGTGCGTCTTCAAGAAGAAAAGCAACGAGGTGAGGAGAGGCGCGCCTCCACCTGGCTCCTGAAATAAAAACCCATGTCAACTCTCTGTGTTGACCCTCCATGCCGAGCATCGGAGGAGCCATATCTCAGGTTACAGCAGCTGGGTTGAGATGAATGAGACTATTGGGTAATGTGATTTATGGCACAGACTGAAGGGAGGAGAGGAAAGTTCAGAAGCAGATAAAGAAAGCAAAGAAAGATGGCTCTCTGTAAAGTACCCTAACGATGCCTGCTTCATAATACGCGACCCGATGTAATACAAAAAGCAGTGATTTATTAACAGCTTCATGAGGCATTTTTTATTAGGCAGTTCTTATTCGCAGTCATCTTTTTTTGCTTTCTTTATCCGCTTCTGAACTTCGCCCGTGTTCCTTTCCTCCCTTCAGTCTGTGTCATAAATCACATTACCCAATAGTCTCATTCATCTCAACCCAGCTACTCTGACA